TTTTTTTTTCCCCCAAGAAAAACTGTTGACTCTTGGTCTAAATAGTGAGTGCTGTGGTATTTTAACTTGGCCTATTTTCTTTCTTCCTTTCTTTTTATTTTTAAGGCTAGGCATGTGAAGCAGTGGGAGTAAAGAAGGAACAAAAAAAGTCTGTAATTGGTTTTGATAACTTGGCCTATTTTCATTATCTTCTGCCCATAGGAAGCCTTAAAAACTAACAGCTTCAAATCAATGGTAACTATGAAGCCAGTAGCCTAGTAGTCCCTGGAAGGGCTTGAAGAATAGCCTCGAAGTTCCCCAAAAACACTATTCTCAGAGAATCGACGTTATTTAACCTAACTCAGATCTCACTCAGTGCAAGCATCCTTTCGCCGCCAAGCTTTTATTGAAAATAACCAGCAGTTTAACATGGCAGCTACAAGAGATGCAATAAAACATTGGGGCGAGCAAGTACTTGGTCAAAAACTTAAAAGGTGGCTGGGCATGGTGGCTCACGCCTGTAATCCTAGCACTCTGGGAGGCCAAGGCGGGAGGATTGCGTGAGCTGAGGAGTTCGAAATCAGCCTGAGCAAGAGCGAGACCCCATCTATACCAAAAAAAAAAAAAAAAGATAGAAATTAGCCAGACAACTAAAAATAGAAAAAATTAGCCAGGCATGGTGGTGCATGCCCGTAGTTCCAGCTACCCTGGAGGCTGAGGCAGAAGGATCGCTGGAGCCCAGGAGTTTGAGGGTGCTGTGAGCTAGGCTGATGCCACAGCACTCTAGCTCAGGCAACAGAGTGAGATTTTGTCTCAAAAAAAAAAAAAAAAAAAAACTTAAAAGGAAAAGCTGGGGATGAGGCATCCATAGGAGGCTTTGAAAAGCTCTAACATACTCCTGGGATTTAGACAGCCAGGACATGTGCAAGGCTTTGTGTACAGCCAGGAAGGATACAAGAAGGGTAGGTAAGTCCTTCTCTGTGGCTTACCCTTAGGCTGTATGGGAATAAGAAGTGAAGGCAAAGGGAGAGTTGCAAATGGCTTGCTGAGTGTTGAAGGAGCACCCCGAAAATGTACATAGAACCCCTCAGCAAGCAAAAGCTGGGGGACTTAACAAAGGTCTCAGGCATTTAAGGAAATCTCTTACCACTAAAGCTAACTAAGCAGAGACTTCAGTAGCCACATGCAAAAAAAGAAAATAAACTTTACACAATTACTTCAGGACAGTCACTAAAGAAACAAATAGCAGTGATGACAACAATAACAAACCCTGGGTGGGGGATGGGGAATTTGATACTCAAAGTTGCCATATTATTTTAAATATCCAGTTTTTGTCAAAAAATTTATAAGACATGCAAAGAAAGGAGAAAGGATGGCTTATTCACAGGAAAAGAACCAGTCAATAGAGACTGTCCCTAAGGAAGCCCAGATGTTGAATTTATTAAATAGA